GTCCATGGACAGACAGCTGTATTAGCAGATAGATAAATGGATGGATGGATGGATGGATGGATGGATGGATGGATGGATGGATGGATGGATTGACAGAGATGAATGGATGGATGGAGGACTCAGGAACGGACAACTGGCTAGACTGATGAATGGATAGATTGACGCTGTGGTAAATGAATAGACAGGCAGACGGACGGACGGACGGGCAGCCAGACACAAGGCCCCAGGGATGGAGCCAGACGCAGAGCTGGGCAGCCGTTGGTTGATGGGAGCAGCCCCGGGCCAGCGAGGGAAGGGAACCGCCCGTGGTGGGGGCAAGCGCTCCCCCTGCTGGCTACGGAGCAGCATGGCTGGGACGACGCTGGGTGGATGGAGTCCCGGGCTGGGGGAACTCACCGATGTGACCCGGGAGGGGGGAGTGGGGCCGCGGCAGCGTCGGGGACGTGCTGGTCAGGATCAGGCTCTTCCTGTTACTGGTTCGGCAGCTGCAGAGAAGGGAAAGAAGAAGAGAAGGGGGGACAGGACTCAGTGGGCCGGCTCGGGGGAAACGGGGTCTGACCCCAGTCCCAAAGCCAGCATGTGATCAAGGGAGTTTCAAGAGACAGCTCCCCTTCGGCATCTTCTCGACCCCCTCTGGCCCAGGCCTAGAAACCATGAGCTCTGCTCCACTCCGCTCCCAGCACCGGGGAAAGAACCCAGGAGTCCTGGCTCCCAGCCCCTCCCCACTCTAACCACTAGCCCCCACTCCCCTCTCAGCACCAGGGAAAGAACCCAGGAGTCCTGGCTCCCAGCCCCTCCCCACTCTAACCACTAGCCCCCACTCCCCTCCCACCACTGGGGAAAGAACCCAGGAGTCCTGGCTCCCAGCCCCTCCCTACTCTAATCACTAGCCCCCACTCCCCTCCCACCACCGGGGATAGAACCCAGGAGTCCTGGCTCCCAGCCCTAAGCAGTAGGGCCCCTCCCAGCCGTTTGATGGGGACAGACGCCAGTGACGACGTCTGTGCTGCCCTCCTCCCGAATTCCCCCCACTCCGGCACCAGTGCCCAGCCCCAGGACAGGAGCTGCAGGGCTACCAGGCCCTCCCTGCTCTAACCACTACACATCACTCTCCTCCCAGGGCCAGGCTCCCCATAGGCCTATAACCTTCACTTCAACTGCAGGAAGGGTGTGACAACATCCCTGCCCAGCTCTCTGAGGGGAGTGGGGCCTAGTGTTTGGGGAAGGGGCTGAGAGCCAGGACTCCTGGGTTCTATCTCCAGCTCTGTGAGGGGAGTGGGGCCCAGTGGGTGGATGGGGGGGGCTGGGAGTCCCCACTATTGTGCTGTGTTTTCATGCCCGGTCAGGAACAGACTCCAGAACGTCTCGCACAAGCTGACCCCAGGATCCTGCTTAAATTATCCAGCCCTGACATTCTCCCCTCCCCCAGCCCCATCTCTCACATTCTCCTGCTGGTCCTGCCTTGCTCTGGGCTCCTACCCAGCTGCCAGGCTCCACCCCAGAGCTGGTTCATGGCCGAAGTGGCGAATGAGGTAACTCACCCAAGGTCACACAGGGAGTCAGTGACGGAGCTGGGAATGGAACCCAGGAGTCCTGACCTCCCCCACCCCCCAGCAACAAAACAAACCAACCCAGAGATAAATCAGGATTGAGGTGCAATAAACAAAGATGGAGAAGGGGAGTGCCAGGAATGAGGGGCATCGGTAGAGCTGGGGAGCTGGGCTGGGATAGCAGGGGCTGTGGGTCAGAAGTGAGGGGCACCAGCAGAGTTGTGGGGGGAGGCCAGGGCTGAGATAGCAGAGGCTGCGGGTCAGGAGTGAGGGGCAACGGCAGAGCTGGGCTGGGATAGCAGGAGTCTGCGGGTCGGGAGTGAGGAGCACCGGCAGGGCTGTGGGGACAGGGGGCTGCGGGTCAGGAGTGAGGGGCAACGGCAGAGCTGGGCTGGGATAG